TTTTTTGGCTACCCTACCCCAAAAGGGGTCTTTCTACTATCCAGGCTCTAAAATGAACAACAATAATAATAAAAGAAAAACAAAGACCTAGTAGTAGCAAATACGTTCAGTCAAACAAAACAAATTCCAAATATTTTGGACATGGCCAAAATGGGGGAAAAAAAATATACAAACCTTGAGTGATCTTTGAAATATAGGCCAGCAATTCTACCTGCTGAGCCTCATCAGCAGAAGATAAGGAATACAGAGGAAGCTCCTCCTGAAACTTGATAATCATTTCTCTGATTAACCCAGTGATGACTGATTTAGGCTAGGAAACAAACAAAAAGAGAACAGTTACCATCTCTAAGACCTAAAAGTTCCCAAATTATTATAAAAATGTATTATCAAGGTCAGTAATGGCCTATCACAGGGAAGCACAAAATAGAAATTTAAAATCAACATGAATTTATATTCAAATGAGCAAGAGCCTCAAATTTCTTAGAGAACCATGTCAAAGTAAGAAATACCATGTTAACAGTTATACTAGGGACTGTAAGGAAAAAAAAAAGGAAGCACTGAGATTAGTCATTAGACATATTACAGAAAGCAAGTCAAATTAGAGCAATAGGCTTAAAAAAAAAGTGAAAAAAAAAAGACAGTGAAGAATAAGTAAGAAATATATTGTTCCAGTTCTAAGAGGACATGACTAACTATTAATACAAATGTCAGTTTGGGGGAATCAACATTTTCCTTCTCCTATCATTAATAAATGTTATTTGATAAATATAATAGCCAAAAACAAAGGTGTGGGTTTTAATCCAGATGAAACTATTTATTATAGATATTGTGGAAAATGCTTTATTATACTGGTAGGAAAACTTATTAATCTTTTTACTGTTTAAACCTAACTTTATGGGACAAGAAATTGTTTGAACCTAAAACTTTACCCTGACCTCAGTAACTCTTCAGGAATACCAGAGATGGCTACAAGGAATTCTGGGTTCCCTCAGGTCCTGGATCCACCCAAAATACCCAACTCTTGTTGGGTCCTTCCAAGCCTGTATTTTGGCTTCACTAAAATTTTATTGAATGTTTATGTTTACTGATATCCATATCAATCTACCTTGCTTTCAAGTTGCCCTCTCAGCACAGCTGCTTAACTGTGTACTGTGTGGGTGCCTTTATCTAAATCCTATATAATGTAAACTTTCTAGAGCCTGGAAGGGAGGGAGCCACACCTTTTTTCCAGCTCACTCTTCTCTACCAAATGACCTAATAAAATTCTGTCCAAAACTATTTCAGATTTTGGGGTTTGTTCTTGTGAACAACAATATAACCTGAGGTCCATGGCAAACCAGAATTTTTCTGTACAAAAATTCAGCTTTTAAATTCTACTCTCCTACCTAACTAGTGAGCTCAGAGAAGTTCTTGGCTCTTCAGATACTTAAAGTCAGGATGGGAAGTAATTTGTGAAACTGTTCTGTAATTCAATGACAATGTGAACAATTTTTTTAAACTTTAAAATGTCAACTTACAAATGCCAATATGGGGATCTTTCCCACCTAAAACTAGTACATTACTATTTATAAATTCTGAAACTTTGCCCAAATATTTCTCACCACTTTGGTTAGCTGAAGAACAACATATTAAGAAATAAATCATGAAAAAAACCCTCCATCTTGCAAATTCATGTCACAAAAATTTAATCTAATTATCCTTACTGACTCTGATAATTTTTTTCTCAGCAGAATCTATATCAAGTTTAATATTATTTACCCTTCTTTCTTTAAAATGTCATAACAGCACCTCCTCACTCATTCTCTCTTAGTTTCAAAGCATTCTTTTAAAAGAAGGTAAGTTCTTCAACCATTATAGCTGGAGGAAAATGTAGAACAGAAATATTAAGGAAAAACAAAAATTTTTAAAACAAAAACTAAGTGGATCTTACATGACTCCAGTTCTGTAGATAGGGCAGATATATTCTGCCCTGGGCATCCACATGTTTTCCCAATGAGATTCCCATGTTTGGAGTTGGCTTCAAGAAGCATATGGGGGGCGCAAAAGGGTGAGAATCCAAAATCCACAAACGAATTGGTATATTATATGTATTACCTATTTAAGACAAAACAAAATCTACGGCAAATTCATCTTTAAAAGATAACAAAATACAAATTGTAGCTGATATACCGCAGGTAGGCCAAGCTTTGTAAAACAAATTCATTCCTGTCAAGTAAGCCACAAAGTGGATTTCTACAAATTCAAACCGAGGGGTATGAAAGATCTGAGATAAGGACTATCAGGTGGTTTTGGGAAAGGGGTTGGTTGGAAAAGGCAGCACCTGAGCTACATCCTGAAGGAAACGATTTGAAAGGGCAGAGATGTGGGAGAAGTTATTCCACATGTGTAAAGTGGAATTTATATCTTAGGAGAGGTTATATTAGATTTAGAAAATGAAATTTATAATTTACTTCTATTACAAAATTGTAGATGAGTTTCTATAATGAAAATATCCCCTAAAGGACTGAAGTAAACGCTACTAGAAAGAAAGAAATTTAGATGGAGGCTGGCCTTATAGCATTTGGACATACCAGGGGGGTTAGCCTTAGAGAATTTTGGAGTTAGCCCTCTATGATCATACAGATCAGTCTAAATCCCACATTTTAGAAAGAGGACAGCGAGATCTAGTAAAGCTAAATGACTCACCCAGTGTCATTGCAAGTCAGTAACTAAAGGGCTAGAACTAGATTACAGGTCACCTGATTCAGTCTAGGATTCTTCCCACTCCTTCCACTCAGTTACTCTATGTCCTCACCTGCAGTTCATTTTCCTTTGCAAGAGACTTTTATAACTGAGTAAACTTCTTCTCTTCTATCACTTTACCCCTCCTCATTCTAACACAAAGACTATAAAAATGTATCCAATACAAGGGAATCTCTTAATTCAATCCCTGAGATCTTAGAACTTTTTCCCTTTTTCCGTTTTTCCTTTTCATTTAGGTATTCATAAAATACACATACATATGTTTATATATGATAGTATATGAGCCCGAGTCTGAAGTACATTAGTATATGAGCTTGAGCCTGAAGTCAAGAAAAACTTAGTTCAAATCTGGCCTCAAATACTTACTGTCTGTGTGACCCTGGGTAAGTCATTTCACTTCTGTTTGCCTCAGTTTCTTCATCTGCAAAAAAGGGATAATAACAGTACCTACCTCAAAGGGTTGTTGTGAGGATCAAACAAGGTAATATTTGTAAGGTGCTGAGAACAGTGCCTGGCACATAGGAGGTAACATATAAATGTGAGCTATTATTCTTATATGTAAATATATATATTTGGTGGTGGTCCTTCATGCTTAATGAAGACCAAAATGACATCACTATCTTGGGGTCAAGGTGCAGTGTGTCCCACAGTGGCTGATCAGACCAATGAGAGCTCAGAAGGCTTTACCACAGGTCAGGCACAAATAGTTCATATGAACATTTAGAGTGGAGATATCTCTAAATTTGTGCATCTAACGCTCCTTTGGAGCTACTATAATTCTGCTTTGCCCATAGAGCGCAGTGCCTTCTTTGATGTGGGCATGCCGTGCTGGGAGGCTGATTCCAAAGCTCTTCAGAGAGACCTTGAGAGTGTCCTTGTACTGCTTCTTCTGACCTCTATGTGAGTGCTTGCCTTGTGTGAGTTTGGCATTTAAACAACAAGGCCAGCCCATTGGAGTTGCACTCTACATAGTAACAGTTTGAATGCTTGGCAGTTCAGCTTGAGAAAGGACCTCAGTGTCTAGTACCTTATCCTTTTTTTTTTTTTGGTGAGGCAATCAGGGTTAAGTGACTTCCCCAGGGTCACATAGCAAGTGAGTTTCAAAAGTCTGAGGCCAGATTTGAACTCAGGTCCTCCTGACTCCAAGGCCAGAGCCCTACGCACTGCGCCACCTAGCTGCCCCTGATACCTTGTGCTGCCAGGTGATCTTGAGAATCTTCCTAGGACAATTCAAATGGAAGCAATTCAGTTTCCTGGCATGGCACTGATATACTGTCCAGGTTTCACAGGCATACAACAATGAGGTCATCACAATAGCTCTGTAGACCTTCAGTTTGGTAGGCAGTCTAATACCTCCTTCTCTTTCACACTTTCCTTTGGAGCCTCCCAAACACTGAGCTAGCTCCTGCAACGTGTGCATCAACCTTATCATCTATGTGTACATCCCTGAAAAGTATACTGCCAAGCTAAGTGAACTTATCCACAACATTCAAAATTTCTCCATTTGCTGTAACTGATTGTTCCACATATGGATGGTGAGGTGCTGTCTGGTGAAGAACCTCTGTTTTGTTGGTGTTGTCAGGCCAAAATTGGCACAAGCGGTAAAAGAATTGGTCCATATTTTGTTGAATCTCAGCCTCAGAGGCTGCATTGAGTGTACAATCATCAGTGAACAAAAAGTCACACACCAAACTCTCCCTTCCCTCCACTTTAACCTTGGCTTGTGGAGTTTTCAACTTAAATAATTTACTATCAGTGTGGTAGGTGACTTTCTGTTTTTGTCCTTGTTGAAGGCCTCTGAAAACATCACTGAAAACATCATGCTAAAAAGCATGGGAGAAAGCACACAGCCCTACTTCACTCCATTGGTGACTGGGAAAGCACAAGAGTGTCATCCACTATCCAGAACCTGTGCAAGTATGTCATCGTGAAACAAGCATACAATACTGAGGAATTTCTCCCAGCAAACAAATTTCATGATCTTCCAAAAGCCCTCATGACTGACAGCATCAAAAGCCTTAGTGTAACTTACTAGCTGTGTGACCCTGGGCAGGTCACTTAACCCCATTGCCTAACAACGACAACAACAAAAAAGCCTTATGTATTATGTATACAACATATTAATGTTGTGTACAGGCCTCTGTTCTGCTCCTAGCATTTCTCCTGGAGTTGTGGGGCAGCAAACACCATAGCAACCATTCACTGGCCCTTTCTGAAGCCACACTGGCTCTCAGGTAGATGACCATCTTCCAGGTGAAGGATCAGCCCATTAAGGAGGACTCTGGCAAGAATCTTGCCAGCAGTGACTAAGAGAGAGACCCTTCTGTGATTGTCACAAACAATCTATTTCCTTTTCCTTTACAGAGACGGACAATGGAGAAATCCTTGAACTCCTGAGTGATAATCTTTTCTTGCCACATAACCTGGAAAGTTTCAGTCAGCTTTTGTATGAGCAGCGGACCTACCTTGTAAATCTCAGAAGAAATAGAATCAGCAACAGGCACTTTGCCACATGAGAGGAACCTAATGGCATTCAAAACCTTTTCTTCAGTTGGAAGTTCAGCTAGAGAGGGATTGATTTCAACCTGAGGTATATAGTCAATGGCTTCATTTGTGGTGGGAAAGAACTGAAAATTGAGAGGATGACCATCAATTGGGAAATGGTTAAATAAGTTGTGATATATGATTGTGATGGAGTACTACAGTGCTGTAAGAAATGATGAGCAGGTTGATTTTAGAAAAACATGGAAAGGCTTGCATGAAATAATGAGAGTGAAATGAACAGAACCAAGATAATGTTGTATACAGTAATAGCAATATTGTCCAAAGACTGTGAATGACTAAGCTGTTCTAAGTAATATGAATATTCAAGTCAACTACGAAGGACTTGTGAAGGAAAATGCTATCTACCTCCAGAGAAAGAAATGATATATAGAAGTATGTATTGTACGGTTCTACATGGATATCTATGTATCAAATGTTGGACTTCTCTGATGCAGGGTTGGGAGGGAGAGAGGAAGACAACTCAGAACTCAAAAAAAAAAATTAAAACAAACAAAAAAAAAACAAAACTACTTCACAGACTCCATGACTTTGACACTCTCCTTATCTCTATGAAATCACTGTCATCACTAATAATGTTAAGCCCTTGCTGGCCATCTTTCACACACACCTTCCACTCTATTCACAACCACGGGGAAGGAGAGGGAAGGAAAAGTATCTCTTACATGTTCAGGGGAATGAGTGGCACCTAAGTAAAAAGTGGATGATTGCTGCTGCAAAACTAGAGAAAATGACTCTATTCCCTTAAGTGGGTAAAGTCCAGGCTCACACATAAATGAAGGAGAAAAGAAGAACTCACTCAAAATCTTTTGGGCTTCTCTGAAGCATTAGACACACAAACACATTCTAATTTCTATGGATTCAACAGCACCTTGAAAATATATGTCAATTAAATGGTCAAAGGATATGAACCGCAGTTTTCAGATGAAGAAATTAAAGCTATCTAGTTATATGAAAAAATACTCTAAATTACTATTCTTTATTAATTTATTTTGATTTATCAACAGTCACTTCCATAAGCTTTAGAGTTTTAAAATTTTATCCCCTTCCCTTCCCAAGACGGCGCACAATCTGATATAGGCTATGCATATACATTCCTATTAAACATATTTTCACATTAGTGATGTTGTAAAGAAGAATCTAAATTACTGTTGATTAGAGAAATGCAAATCAAAACAACTCTGAGGTCCTACATCACACCTATCAGATTGGCTAACATGACAAAATAGGAAAATAGTAAATGCTGGAGAAGATGTAGGAAAATTGGAACACTAATGCATTGCTGGTAGAGTTGTGAACTGATCCAGCCATTCTGGAAAGCAATTTGGAACCATGCCCAAAGGGCTATAAAACTGTGCGTGCCCTTTGACCCAGCAATACCATTTCTAGGGTTTTATCCCAAAGAGATCATAAAAATGGGAAAAAATGTACAAATGTACAAAAACGTACATGTACAAAAATATTTATAGCAACTCTTTTTGTGGTGGCCAAGAACTGGAAATTGACGGGATGCCCACCAATTGGGGAATGGCTGAACAAG